GGACTTGACCTCCTAGATTTACTATGGAAGTCACCTGGACTGTAGCCAGAGCATCAGAAATGTTTGCTAACTTTTCCATGGAAGCCTTTCATCTATTGTCTTGGCTGGTATGTTGAGATACAAGCTAGCACCTAATTCATCGCCAGTTCTTACTGCATATCATAGTGGCAGCCAACACTAATGGGATTAATTGGTCATGACTGGTGGAATTGTAAAAGCACATACCTCCAAGGGTCATAAACACCAAGTCTTAATTGAAATCAAATGTATATTTTTAAAAAGCATGTCCAGCATCATATACTCCTTTCTGTTTGGGTTTTGTTGATATTAGCAATGGTATAGAAACCTGATCAAGAAGGTTTGCTTTTATAACTGCTCTCAATACAAACTTGTACTTCTTGGCACCACAAGTAGCTGATTAGAGGAGGGGATAATATTCAGCTTGATTATTGGTTACACATATGGAATAAATCCCATTTTAATGGTGTCTAATGAACCTTTCATTTCTAGAACCTTACACAAAAGCATCTAATAGAAAGAGAAAGTAATATTTCAAAGGTCATCTGAATGTTACTGAATGTCAACAATCCATAATCAAGCCAATATATATTGATGATGATTGCAGTCCAGTCTGATTCTTTAAATGTGAAATAATTTTCTAAATTAGCAAAGTGATGCAAGCTAAGGTTCTTTCGGTTTGAGGGAGCTTGAAAATGTCTAATTGAAGTTTGTAGCTTAAAACCAGCATTGAAGAGATTTTTCTTGGAGTGAGGCTTCATGCCATGAAGTGTTTTCAAGGCCCATGAGATTTAAAGTTCTGTCTCTGAGAGTTTCATGCACTGTTCTCCTTCATGCCTACAATTCCATTGAAATGTGCAAATGGAAAATGCGGCTCCCTCCCAGTGCTTTCTCTCAACGGGAGACTGAATTGAACAGTTGCAGTGGGGGCCATCGTGAGAGCTGATGGGCATCTAGTTTAGAACCAGACATCTACCTGATTGTGTATGTAGATGTTGTAAGGTTATAGAATCTCTAATGAGAGTTTTGTCTCAGTTGCTTTGTGAATGGTGACTTCCCTCCGTACCCTGGACTGTTGATACCTCTTTGAAGTCACAGGATAGCTGCTGTTATACAAGTTCAGATGACAGGCTGAAGTAGAAATGGTGAATTCTGCCAAACACTTTCCTCTGTCATGTGATTTGCACAAGGAGCTGGAGGATGATCGTAGGGTAAATGGCATCTTCTGGAGCACTGGTTCCTATTTATGCAGATGGGCCCCATCCCTAGAGGTTGGGTTCTGGGGTAGGATCAGAGAAACCATGCTTCTGGCAAGTTCCCTGAGAATACTGATGCTGATGTAGGAATCATGGCTCTGAGTACCATTGCTCAGAGTCAACTCGTGCACAACCTGCCCAGCCGTACATACGGTCTTGGCTTCCGTTATCTTTGTATGAATAAGCATTGCGTTTTATTCATTTTTGACTCCTAGCAGCTGACAGTGGAGCGTGCTCATGGGGTTTGTTCAGAGAGCAGAGGCTATTTATATCAAATTAAAAGCAATGAGAAGATATTTAACATGAAGTACCCAGTGAACACCATCCCAACCCCAATGTTGCTCAATGTGTTTGTATTTCTTTCCTCTTTCTTAAAAACTAATTTTATTCCTTCTACTTCCCTTTTGAACTCTTAAGCTTGATTGTGGTTTGGTTATCTCTCATCTCCCTGTTTTGTGTCTGTTTCCGAGTTAAGGGGATAAACCAGGACTTGTGATTCAGTTATGGGTTACCAACCTTTGGATGCATGGTTTCAGAGCCAATCCAGGAGGGAGGGAGCTGAGATGAAGCACTAAACCACAGCCAGGGATAAAGATCAACCAGTTGGCAGTGTACATCATAGTTCTCTGGGTTTATCTTGAACTGTGAGAACCATGCTGAGAAAATACGTGACTCAAACTCAGGAAGTAGTCCTAATCGCCCAGAGCTCCCTACATTCAGGTGTTCTTCCACAAGACTCACTCAACACCTTCAATAGCTACATGAAAGTCATGAAAAAAAAATCTTAAGAGGATTAAAAGGCATCCATTTGCCCAAACTCTCCAAGAATCCAGTTTTAGCTATTTGAGATTGTTTTTATTAATTACATTTTCTTGTAAGCCTGCCTAAATGTTAGTTTATTTTTAAAGCAGTTTTCTTTAACTGAACCTGTGAATGTAGGGGTAAAACTGCCTCCAGGAGAGGAAATTCTTGTGCTGAATTACAAGGTTAGTCCCATAATGGATGATAACACTTCATTATAAAATTGTTTGCTTGCAAGTCCACCAGGATGCCATTAGAGAAGCAAACGATACCCCTTCCTCTCACTGAACCTTCTCACAAGTCCATTCAGGTGACTGACCCATTTGGTGTTAGGCCCTCTACCAAGCCATCTGCCAGATTGTGAGGACCTCGGTCTGTAGATTCTTCGAGTAAGGTTTTTCAGCAAGAGTGAGTGGTGGGTGTCTATTAGGAGCTACTGCTTCCCAACAACTGCCTTTACTCACACAGTTCAAGGAGGTCATAACCTCTGCCTTTGTTTTCCCTGAAGATACTACCTTGTTTCTCTCCGTCCTTGGGCCATTCTTGTTGTAGAGGGGACATCTTATGTCAACTAAATTTTCATTAGTTTGCAGATTACCTTCTTGCTGTGCTGTTCTAACTGGATGCCCGTTTTGTACTGTAGCCTTGATACTTCATGTGGTTTGGAATGCCAGACCTCTTTTTTATTATTATTATTGGTTGTGTAGATAGCAATAGTAGCAATAATTTTAATTCTAATTCTAAACAGATATTAAATGGGCATTGAGTAGAAAGGATGAGGAGTTGCTAGCTGCATGTGCCTTATATGTGATCTCATGGACAGTCTGAATCTTCTAACACATAGCTGGGTTTCCCATTCTATGGTAGAAGTGGGGGAAGTTTCTTCTGGATCTGGTACTCACAGAAACCTTGTTATCCAAGCTATCACTGTTCTCCCATGCTCACATGGGTACCAAAAACAATGGAGCTTTCTCTGTAAGTTTTGAGGTGACTGTAGAAGGTACAAGAGATTGTGTCCCACCCTATTCGGGTATGTACCATTGGAACTAGCCCCAGAATGACATCTGCCCTACAAAAAGAGCCTTGCTAAGAAAGAGGCTACAGGATCAGCATGTCCAAAACCACAAGCTCATTTCAGACCTAAGTGTGCTGGACCAGGTAATTCCAAGCAAAATAAACTGGGCTCCAGGACTTTGCTCAGAGTCTTCGTTCAGAGCAAACCTTAAAAGCACACATTTGGTTGGCAGAGACCTTTTAGCTATTAATTAGGAGTTAAATCAGAACTCTTTGATCCTTGAACTTGAGATGTAGTTGAAAATTTGCAGAAATAAGGCCCCATGAATTCCAGAACTTCCCCCTCCCCCGCAGTGTGGCATTATATACACTTGGCTCTGAGAAAGTCGTCAGCTTTGTCAGCATTCTTCCTTCGTTCAGGCTAAATTTATTTTTTATGTGAAATAGAAATCAGGAAAACACCGAAAATTATTTTAAGCAAAATATCAAAATTGAAATAAACCAACATATGTCTGTGAGACATGTATAACTCTCAATCAAAAATAAGTGCAACTTTCATAAATTTCTTAAAATACTCCAGCATGCAGAATGTGATCAACTTAAATAGATGAAGTTGTGACATAGTCGACTCTTCTTTCTCCTTAGTTCATCTTTTACTTAGGGATGAAATTTCCAGCTAGTGAAACCTTCACACCCAGTGTCCTCCATCGTCTGTTGTAGAAACCAAGGCAATTTATGAGGTGCCTATAGCAACTCTAGATAATGTCCCCTAATTTTGAATGAAAACAGTCCCTCTCTTACCCTCCTTACTTATGTCCATGTATGTACTGTTTCCTCTACATTTCTTAAAAAAAAAAAAAAAAACACCTTCAGATTTTTTAATCACTCAAAGCATACCATTTTTGTTTCCCATATCCCTAACAACTTAATAAAGGAGAACTTTAATGGAATTAAAAGCATTAAATTCACATAACTTTTCTAGGGCTTCGCACCAAAGATGTCTTCATCTCACCTTAATCATTTACTTTTAGGCTTTCCTCAGCACATTTCATTTTGAATGTTAGCCCCGTTCTGACCCTATAATAGTAACTGATAATTTGCCCACAGAAGATATTAAATTAATGCTACTCTCAATATGTGTTATTAACAAAATGCAAATGTGCATTTGAAATCATCAACCTTTTTATCTTTCTCTTATTCATATCTAAGTGGTGAAATTTCTATAATAATAATAATAACAACAATAATAATGGTTACTTTATTTGGAATGATTTAGCGCTAAGCGAATTCTCTGTCTCCTTGTTCCCTTTAAAAAGTATTTTGAAAAGTTACTCAGCTTGGCATCATCCTCCATGTTAACATTGGCCACTCATTTGGAAGTTGAGAAACCTGAACAAATATTTAAAGATGTGTCTGATTGACTTGATGTAGTGGGTACCTGTTTTCTTCATCCTACATTCTTGGACCTGTCCTGTCTTCTTTTTCTTTCACATGTCACTCTGATATCTTTTACTAGTTTCTTAGCTGTTGAAAGTTTCTTCCTTCCCAGTTCCTTCAATGTGGAGCAATTTGGGAATAGAAAAGTGTGTTAATTTTTTAATAAACCTTTAAGATACACATTACTATGTTTCTATTGATTGAGCCAGATGGCTCACAGTGAATTTTCTCTGACATAAGTAATCACAGAAATCAGTTTGGAACCAAAATCTGGTAGGGAACGTGGCATATATATGCTGTGGGAAAGATGCAATTCACATAAACATATGGCTATTTTTAGAAGCAGTATTTGCTACTGTTTGGATTTAATTTCATCTTACTGTTAGCTAAGTACAAACTAATGGTTGTTTTTCTTCTCTCATCTCAGGCATTTGGGGTCCTTCTCAATCACTAAAACTTGTTTTCTTTTTACAGTTTGAAGGCTGCAAGAAGGCCTTTTCAAGGCTTGAGAACCTCAAGATTCACTTGAGGAGCCACACTGGTGAGAAGCCATACCTGTGCCAGCACCCAGGCTGCCAGAAGGCTTTCAGCAACTCCAGCGACCGTGCCAAGCACCAGAGGACGCATCTTGACACTGTAAGGATGGCAGAGGCTTGCCACCTTCCAGCCTCAGCTGTGTGTGCCAAGGGGCCCCTCTGATGGTAGGATGGTGGAGGTGTTTGCTTTATGGTCTGTAGGTCACAGGGGCAGTGCCAAGCACAGCAGAACACAGTGAAGTGCCCCCCCCCTCGCCGTGGGTGTACCCTGTGTGGTCGCTTCATTTTTTTAATTTTTATTTTTTGAAGTTGCGAATTTATGCTACATATTAGAACTTTCTGGGACCAGGGTTCTTGAGTCCCTTCTCTGTAGAGAGCAGAAGTAGTTCAAGGGCTTTCATGCAGTAGATGTTGGCACCCAGAATGGCCACTAGAGATAACTTAAGTGATGATGAATGTATCAGGCTGTCCCAAACTAGACAATGTATGCATTTGGGAGGGATATGATGTACAGAGTTTGTGTTGACCCTGGTTCTTATCCTCTTGACCTAACTTTTCAGCCAGCACAGTGATGAGTATGAATCTGGTCTTTTACTATAGAAACCATCTGTTATTCTCACCTGCAATTGATCTAAAAAGACAGAGCAGATCTTCCCCAGAGTTCATTTCATACATGCTTTTTCTGTGTTAGCAGCCACAATCCTTTTATATCAACCTTATGAGAACAATTGAGTTTTTATTTTCACACCCTTAACTCCCTTAATGCTGCTAAATTTTGCTCCTTGCAAATGCTGTTTCTATGTAACTTTTGTCTTTTATTTCCCCCATTATGTAGATAACACTTCTTTGCCTTCTCAAGCTTTGATGCCATTTTCTTTACAGGAGGCCAGATAGATGCTGTGTAATTTCAGTTCACTTGACAAAGCCGTTGGGATAAATGCATTATACACATCACGGATCTCTTATCCCACGTTCTTGCAAATAATGTATTCATGACAGTACTTTCTCAGTGTTAACATTCTGATGTCTATTATTAAACTACACCAGAGCCTGAATTTTGAAAAGATACTGTTATTTCTACACACCTTCTCATACATATTTAAGATTCTTCTAATGTTATGGTTGACATATTTATTACATTTTATATTAGTCTCTATTAGTCATATTTGCAGAAGTCATTTTAGCTATGTATGTCATATAACCTTTCTAAACAGAATTATCTCCTAATATGCATAGATGTGATGGTTTCTCTGGTAAATACCTGAAACATGGGCAAAGGATAAACTTTTGCTGCTTTAGCCAGAGTGGATTTATTAATTTGTTCAGGGCCAATAGAATAGAATATTACATAGATATATGGAAAGTGCTGAAATTTTTCAACATAGAAAATATAAGAATAAATTATGTTTAATGTCCTATTTTGTTGTATCTGAAATGGTCTTGGTCTAATCCAGTATATTTTCCAGTTTGTCACTAAACCTTTTCATGGAAGTGTGACCACTCATAAAACAAGATTGTCAAATTGTTCCATTAACCAGTTCTCTGTAGTTTCAAAGCCATGCTTCAGGAAACGTGTTGTTTCTCAACAATACCCTTCTTTGGTACCAATTTTAGCTAATAACATAAAACATTTTATAAAGTAATTTCAGCATTTACTTCAGTAAAGTAAAAATGTGTAGCCCTTTAAGAACTTTTAAATAAAGCTGTTTAAGATAATGATTTTATGATTTGAATTCAGTGCAACATCTCTTAAAACTGGTCATATTTATCTTGTTAAAAAGATTTTCTCATTTTTCCTTAAGATTCAAACTGTCTCCTATTCAAATGTTTACTTCCTTTAACAAATTGGTAAATAAATTAAATTCTTGTCTTCCAAAGCTAACTGTAGCTCTTTGAAGAATGTTTAACTTATATTTAGGTTCCTTTCTGTTAATCACCCCTTATACAAAAGCTTATGCAGGATTTTGGGATAAAGGTATCTTTTCAACTAAATAGATTCTGTACTCAGGAAGATGATTTTCTCACAAAGATTCTTGAATTCACTATAATAACCCTGAAAATTTTTGTTAATACATTTCTCTATTAACGTCTTAAATCTAAATAAGAGAAGTAATTATTCAGGACAGCTGGAAAATCATGAAATAGCCCTTTTGATGGAGTATAACATGCCAATGAAAGCTTGGGTAATCAGAGATAAAATGACAGGATAGATAGGATAGCACTGTTGTCCACACCAGAGCCTGACGGCTGATTGGGCATGCTAGCCTCAAGTGACATATGCAGGGGAGGCCTCAAGGCCAGTTGGGAGGAATGGTGTGTATTAGGCTTTCTCCAAGTGTATTTTAAATAAAATGTCAAATGGCATTTCCCACTCCACTTACACTAGCATAGATCCCTAGAGCATGCCAGTGTTCACAAAACTGCTTCCATGAGGTACCCACTCTCACTGCAACCTCAAGTGTGTGTGCTCATACTGAAGGATGGATATTGGCTACTTGCTCCGCTGATGTGAAGGCAGAGTAGGGAAAGCTAGTTCGGGAAGGGCTGGGTGAACTCAGCAAAGATTTTCAGGTTAAAGCAAAATCTTTGTTCCCTCATGGAACAAAGTGCCATTAATTGCTCACTTAAAAAAAAAATGAATTCGGTAAGGGCCTGGTTCCTCTTCATCCATCATTTATTGGTAGAGTTACTTAGAATTTAGTAAGTGCCCAGAACATTCTAGAAACATAATCTTAGGTTATTCAATTAATCAATCAAAAGTAAGTCAAGATCAGTCAATGAGTAATCAAATCCTGTATTCAAATCGAGCATTTCAATGAAACGATACAGCATGATTCTCTCTCACCTTTGGAATGAAAAACAAAATGACAGAATGTCAGTGAGTTCTAAATGTTGCTCTCAGCAAGCGAATAAGAAAGTCCACATTTACTCAGTAAATGAACCACACATGAAAACAAGAGCATGGTGGGGTAAGAATAGCTGTGGTGTGCTCTTGTCCCTAGCATAGCAGGCTTCGGAGAAGACTCCTCCCATCAAGAGAGGATTTCAGATCTTTCTCTTATTACATAATACAGGCCCTAGTCTCGTTTCTCACAGTAGATGATAATTCATCTTTTCTACACAATTACTCCTGTTTTTGTTGTTCTAGTTTTTGTTTTTAATTTGTTTGATGTCAGAATGGATTTGAATTGTTCTTCCCCTCCCACCTATGTCATGCATTCATGTCTACCTTAGGCGCCAAGCCCTTGGGGACATACCTCACATTTCCATATATTTCCCGTCTCTCTGCTGCACAGGAAATTGCACCCTTGTCCCCCCACTAAGGGCTCATTCATGTCACTTGACTTCTCTGTGACTAATATTACTGTTCTTCTGGCTAAGTTTTTGTGTCTGTTGTTTGAGACCTACTATTTCTTACTCGCTTTATACTAATTTTCCTTCTTAATTCTTTTCCTCTTTCTGAATCAGGTACCCTCTGAACCAAATCCAGTCTTTTCTGGACTTTTCTACAGCTTCTTTACCTGAGCCTTAAAAGATCTGTTTACTATTTCTGACAGTACCAAAGATTTTCTCAGGGAGATAACTGTAAGTATGTAAGTATAACTTCCACTTTAAAAATTATACAAGAGATTTTATGGTTACACTGCAATGTAAGGTACTCGCTGAAAAATCTTGAGGATAATGCATCTCTGTGGGTTCGTTTTGAAAGGTTATTCTCTCATCATCATGATGCAGAATTCCTGGGTGTCTTAATTAACATGCATGAGTATTACCCTGCACTCCACACCTGTCACTTGGTGCTGCTTCCTGCTCTGAACAGTCTGAACAAAGCACGACCCTGTTACTTTCATGATTTAACCACAGCTCTGTCTTTCTCTCTTCTCTTATTCAGAAACCTTATGCTTGTCAGATTCCAGGATGTACAAAACGCTACACAGATCCAAGCTCCCTAAGAAAGCACGTGAAGGCGCATTCTTCCAAAGAGCAACAAGCAAGGAAAAAGGTAAAATTCAAAGAGAGTTTCCCAGTCAGGAAAGCTGTGTTTGAATTACTCTTGCAGTCACAGAGGTTTCACAGGGCGTTGGGACCTTTGACTTTGAAGATGTCTTAAGCTTGAAATGAGGAGGACACCTTCCCCGAGGCCTCAGCAAGGCTGTAGTTGGCACAACTAATACAGTCATGTAAAAGTTTCTGGGGAAGCTTGCAGAGAAAATTAATGCCAGCCACCAACCCCAGGAAATGTTAATAACAAAAAGCTTTTATGGAAATTTCTGGAAACTCTTTCTGGAGAAATACTTTTTTTTTGTAAAAGTATCAGCTAGCTCAAGTAATTTCCACTCCATTGAAGAACTTGGGTGACCCTAGTATTTGAAGAGAGCATTCCCCGTGGTTGGCTTGATAGGCACTTTGTGTGAAATTGGTGGTGGAGGGGACAAAATGTTGAACTTAATTTGACTTTCACATCAGTGAGGGATCAAGGCAGATTTCAAAATCTGCAGACATTAGAGTGTTACAGATTTGGCAGAAGTGTCCAAGTCCATCTAGCTAGCATGTCTGCATTGCTCTGTGAACGCCACACAATACTGCCACTGGCTGGCCAGACTGGCCTTCCAAACCTTCTGAGAAAGGGAATTTACTGTCTCCCAGGCCACTTGAGATCTGAGTTTTATGGGCTGTGTGGTGGGTGTAGGCTCATAGGCATGTTCATGTGGAGGTGGGTGTACATGTGTGCAAACCTGTGTTTAGAGGCCAGAAGTCAGCTATGGGTATTGTTCTTCAGGGGCTGTTCACTTTGCTTCAAGTAGTGAATGCACATGCTATAACACACATGCACATGCCACCACACACATGCACATGCCACCACACACATGTACATGCTGTAACACACATGCACATGCCACCACAGGTGGCTTATCAGTATACATGCACATGCCACCACACACATGTACATGCTGTAACACACATGCACATGCTGTAACACACATGCACATGCCATCACAGGTGGCTTATCAATATACATGCACATGCCACCACATACATGTACATGCTGTAACACACATGCACATGCCACCACAGGTGGCTTATCAGTATACATGCACATGCCACCACACACATGCATATGCCACCACACACATGCACATGCCACCACACACATGCACATGCCACCACACACATGCACATGCCACCACACACAAGTACATGCTGTAACACACATGCACATGCTGTAACACACATGCACATGCCATCACAGGTGGCTTATCAATATACATGCACATGCCACCACATACATGTACATGCTGTAACACACATGCACATGCCACCACAGGTGGCTTATCTGTATACATGCACATGCCACCACACACATGCGTATGCCATCACACACATGCACATGCCACCACAGGTGGCTTGTTCCTCAGACTGAACTCTGGTCCTTATGTTCTCACATGAGCACTTCCCCCACCAAGTTCTGTCCAACACCCAAGCTTTTAAGTGTTTGAATAAACTAGGATCTTCTGTCCATGGCAGAAACATGTTGCACTAACTTGGCTCTTTTAGTGCTACCTTTGTGCTGAGTTGGTTATCTAATTGATTTAAGGGGATTTTGTAACAAATTTGTAACACATTAAGACTTAAGTTATTTCAAGTGAATGAACCCTATGGCAAGGGTTTTCTGGTCACTGTGCCTTCTAGTCAAAATTGTGCACTTCTTTTCATAGCTTTTGGAGATTTGATATTTGGTGTTGGGAAATCCTCTATAGTTTTTGTTTTTTTTTTTTTTTGATACTGTATTTTTGTTCTGTCTTGAGGTGCTAGGCTTGAGTACCATTTGAGGGCTTATATGCAGAAAGTACTTAGCCAAGTCTTCATTTGGAGGAAGAAAAACACTCAGCTACAAGTATTTGACAGATACTCTTAACTAGTTACAAAACCAGTCTTGTAAATCAATTGTGTTTTTTTTTCCTCTAGAGATTATCTAAATCTCTTTATTTTGGAATACCAATAAATTGTTATCCAGAATTACTTTGCATGGTTTGGTTATGACTTGAATTTAGAGAAGCAAAGGGATTTTCTTTAATGTAAATAAACTTGGAACAACAATGCTTCCTCTTAAAATAACACAATATCACAATTGGACCCTTTAGCAGGATCTTTGTCTGTTGGCTTTGTCATGGTCTGTATCTTATACATTCAAAGGAATAAATTATATTCAATTTGTAAAAGCCCAGTCTTCTAGATGAGAGACGGTTTCCATTCTAGATCATTCTCTACTTCCAAGTTGTCCCTAATAAGTAAGACTACCAGCAAGATGAAAACACTGTCACAGAACCTACTGCCATGGCAGTAAAGAGTATTTATCCCCTATGGAGACAACAGTAGTGATGCTCACAGGTGTGGGAACACACTGGACATTTTTAGAGATTGTTAATATTGGCCTCATATAAAGAAAGAGTAATTTTGATTGTGTGAAGCACTAATTAAAAAAAAAAGACCTTGAGACTATAAAATAGGATTGTATTTACAGTTCCCTTGCAACCTTCAGCGGGCAGTCTAGGAAACAAAGGTAGGGCTTTCCAGCAGTCTGGTAATATCATGTCAGACATTACAGCTCTTCCTTAAGTTTGATTTATGTAAAATGAAGTAGTCCCTCTCTCATTTGCCCACCGGTGTTGTGCAAACAGTTGAATCAGATTTGGTTGACTTTCCTTGTTCAGCCCTCAGTGACAAATTTACAGTGTTTACTTTCCAAAAAGTCTTTTCTAAATCTGTGATGGTTAATTCATGAAATTAAAATGAAAGTCGCTTCATCCAACAAAAGAGGCAGTGTCATTCCCAAGAGAAGCAGCTGCTGATAAACCCAAAATCAGTCTGTCCACGCTGCTAAATCTCAAGCCGATATCCTAGTGTGTTATATTTACACGGTACAATGTTGTCACTAGACCTTAGAGAGCTTCTAATTGCTCACTCACGTCAAGACTTGGTATTTGAAATATTTCCTGGCCTCAATAATAAAAAAAGAAAGAAACAATAAACCTTTTAAGGCAGAATTAAGATTATTTACGACTTTAATTAAAAATTGAAAACTGGCATGATTTCAAAAAGGGCTTTACAAAAATGTGAATTCATCAAAAATAACCATAAAAATTCCAAGGTGATAAAGGCACAGTGGAGTAATGGGCCCAGCCGTAGGGAATTGTTTTGTTGAAAAGAGTAAAACTCTTTTCTGTCACACCCTGTTAGTCATGGACTTGTTTAATATCCCCTGCCTGCCCGCCTCCCTCTAATCCTCTTCTTAACCTCCCCCTAGACACTAAATGACATTATTTTGGTCTTAATGTAGCCAGCTTTATGAGGCCCAACTCTGAAACCCTGGCTGGTAACAATGCACCCATAAGATAATGTATATCAGGAGAGGCAAGTTGCTCTTAAGTGGTGCCCTGGCCGAGAACATACGACCCTTTCTGTTACATGATACACACCACTAAAAAATAAGATGGACCTGCAGTCTCAGCCAAACATTGTTCAAGCTGTATAAAGAAAGAAAAGGGAAAGAACAGGGGCACTTTGGATTGTTGTACTCAGAGAGAAGTTTTTTTGTTTGCATAAGTCAAACACACACACACACACACACACACACACACACACACTCGCACCTCCTCAGCCAACAGACATCCAGCCTTGTTTATCAAATGTGTGTTGCACACTCGTAAAGCAAGTAGGAAAGTATTCAAGTCACCAGTAAAGGTCTCCACTGAGAATAGAATTTAGCCTCCAGAGCAAAAGTCTGTCCTTCGGTTCTTCCCAGTGCGTGAGTGAATGAAGAGAAGACTAAGACAATAGGCCACTTGAGATTCTTCTCAAGGCTGTGAGTTTTATCAGAATTTTTCATTTTCACCTTGGAAGTGCCATGAACAGGGGTTTCCTTCAACTCCAGCGTGTTATCAAATGGACTTGAATACAAGCAATGCCTGGCCAAAAGTTAGAGGTGACAAGAATCTTTCTCCATTCTGTACTTCCATAAAGATTCTGAACTTCGTATGAGTTGCTAAATGCTCGTTAGACATTGACCCTTGGTTGCCTGAATATCATTGGTATTCACTTTTGCGACCGCAATCCAAGCTGCTGCAATTAAAAATGTTCATATTGCATACTTAGAGGCAATTTTATATGGCTTTCTGGCTATGTGAGGGCAGTTTACTTAATGCAGTTTTCTTCAAGGGAAACTGGCAATTCTTCAGACTGTTTCAAGCCACCACCTTTCCCCAGCATCACCTCAAACTATATACTTCTAGAGAACCCAAGGGTTCAGCTTGCAGTGTGTAGTTCTTGGAACAATGACGAGGAAGCTGCAAAAATACTTTCCTTTAAATTGGCGTATTCGGCAAAATAATGAATGAATCATGCTTTCCCCATTAATGGTTTTGTGCTTTCGTCTATTTTTATTTTGGCAGGTGGGGTGTGTGTTCAAGTGCCTCCCCGGACTTATGGTTCCTTTTCATTATCTCTCCCTTGTTACTCAATGGGAATCAGTTAAAATCACTAATGGAGTATTAGGAATAGGCCCACACCACAGTCTTGACTGGGATAAGGGAGTCCAACTCTCTAGGGACACTTCAGTGACACTACCATGGTGGGTGTGCGTGAGGATAATTCTTCTGTTACGGGGCTGAGACTCAAGGAGTGCAAAGTTGTCTTTTTTTTAATAGCTCACAAACATCTGTACATCATAGCACTGGTGATAAATGACTGACATCACACCTCAGAATCGTGGTGAGACACATCTGGATCCCCATACCTCTCAGCTGAGAGGAACTTAATTTCAAGAAAGTTTCTGGGAGATGCTCTTGGAAGAAATACTTTTGGTGAAAAAAATAATGATGAAAATAAATGATTATGTTTTAATGAAAAAAAAACGATCTTGCAAATCATCACAAATTCAACCATATATTGATAATGATTGCTGCTTGGAACAAGTTGCCTGCTGGCTTCTATGATAACGTGGCC